GTGTGTGTGTGTGTGTGTGTGCGGTCATCTTTGCGACACACAACTCAACAAAAACAGCATATGTGTGTGTGGTAAATTGCCGCCACAACAACCCCTTTCCACCTAGATGAGCAGATCCAAAATTGAAACAGCTTTACCTCTTTGGCAATCAACATTAAACCACCAGTCCATCCAAAGCCAAATTGACGAACCAAAAAATGCATTTTTCCGATCCTGAAATCTTCAGTGCGAGCCGTTGGCCATTTTGCCACCGAACTTCCACCGGGCCTGGGCACTGTAGATTTTGGCCTGGTGCTACCGGTAGTATATGAGAAGACTCTACAGTGCCACATGCAGATGGACTGGTGGTTCAAGCACACGAAGATGAGCAGATCCAAATGAGTGTTCGTGTATTTGCATGTGCATGTGCATGTGCATGTGCATGTGTGTGTGTGTGTGTGTGTGTGTGTGTGTGTGTGTGTGTGTGTGTGTGTGTGTGTGTGTGTCTGCCATCAAACTGAAGCTTCTGAAGCCCATCCAGGAGACAAGCATACCCCAAGCTACATGCACAGTAGCCTCCTTTAAAGCCAGGAGACGCATATGGTACTGATTTCCGCGGGCAGACACAAGTGTGCCAAGGGGTTGCTCTGGCCTAGAGGAGCTTCAAGATTATGGACCACCTCCTCGCAACAAGGATCTGCATGGTACCGAAGCTGAGAACCCAAGTGCCTCAAGTTTGTGCATTGGTCAGAGCAGATGCACCTGCACTGCATCCCTGCACCTGTGCCTAACCTTCCTCCTTGTGCCAAGAGTCTGCACTATATTCTCCGGGATAGTGCGGAGTTGAATTCACCAAGCGTCTGTCCCGGTCCAGTGCAAGTGCAGCTGCCCTCGCCCGATTCCTCATTGCATCAAGAATCTGCAGACTCTGCACTGGTATAAAGTGCAGACGTGAATCGGCCAAGCATCTGCAATAGTCCACTGCGGGTGCAGCTGGACTTACCCAATGCACCTACACAAGCCGTCCTTCTTGTGGCAGGAATCTGGACTGATCCAAGATGGCCACTTGAGATTTGTCTCTCCACCCAGCTGGAGGGTCTTTGTTCTTCCCTTTCTGTTCCTCACTTTCTCCGATGGACTCGAGCACATTCCCGATATGGCATGTGGCTGCGCTCGGGAGCTGGGGGATGCACATAGCGCAGCAACACACAAATGAGCAGTCATCAAGTGTTCTGCCACCACCAAAAGAGCTGCTGGGAAAATCCCATGCGATGTGATTGCTGTGAATTACTTTATTTGGTCTATGATAGGTTCGTTCAGGAGGATGGTTGTGCAATCCTTTACTCCCGGGTATTGACAAACAGGCTCTGCAGAACACTGTTCATTCACATGGAAGAATAATCTCAGGGCATACTGACAGTAGCACTCTGCCAGATACATCCGACTGGAATTAGATGCACGTCCATTGCAGGAAGTGCTAGTGTGAGTGTGCCCTGCCCTTAACCGTGGAAGCAGTTGGCGGGAGTGAGAATGTGTCTCTCCCTCTTGACGAGGCAGAAATACTTGTGTCAGACACGTAATGATGAAGGCGCATGTCTCTTAAGGGTGTGTGTGTGAATGAACCCTTGGGACTACCAGCTGGTTAGTGTAGCTGATATGAACTCTGAGCCAGTTAGCATTGATATGTCCTTCGCTCGTTAGCGTTGATATGTCCTTCGCTCGTTAGCGTTGATACGTCCTTCGCTCGTTTAGGAGAGCTTTCATCTGCGCATTGATGGAAGCCGGGATGATCTCAACCATTTCCCTGCAGATGGCGATCTGTTCATCCATGCCTGATATTCTGTTATGCTCTGTATAATCAAGAATGTAACTGTACAGTTCTAGGCTTCGCTTGAAGAAGCAGACTGGATCATCGGGATCCAGATTTAGGACTGCTGAGGAGGCTGCAGCAGACAAGGCAGCTCGAGGGCAATCCTGCTGCAGCTTCTGGTAAATCCCAGCAATGAAAAAGATGGCCATCAAATACCAGCCGTGCTGTTGATCATTATCGTAGTCCTCTGAGTTGGCATCCCCATCAAAAAAATCCAAAAATGTCTGGAAATAGTCAATTGCTTGAAATCCTGCTTCTGAGATTCTTGGTGGCGAAGCCCGTGCTTCTGAGAGCAGTTCCGTCACTTCGCGGTAGATCGAACCCAGTTCGAAGTGGAGCTGCTTGAATACGGAGGGATAAGCGCGAGGGTCAATCTGTTCTGTAAGTGGTTCCAGGCGCTTGGCTCGACGTCTGTGAATCAGGCTCGCACGCTTTGGATTGGGTTCAAAGTCAGCTAAAAATTTATGAAGATTGCTCACGTCCATGAGGATGTTGAAGTGATCAGCCACACTCCCTTCGGTCACGTGGTGTTCTAAGGCCTTCTTGAAGTACCGCATTCCATTGTTAAACAGAGATACGGCGCTGGCGTAATCATAGACCAATCCATCATCATCGCATCCTGGACCGAGAGAAGGCAGTGCCAAGTTCAACACATCAAAATTCGGCGAAACAGGAACCACCTCCTCCTCCTGCTGCTGCTCCTCCTTTTCCTCCTCCTGCACTCTCTGTTCCTTCTCTTCCTTCTCTTCCTTCTCTTCCTTCTCTTCCTTCTCTTCCTTCCCTGCCTGCTGCTGGACCTGCTGCTGCTGCTGTGGCTGTCTCCGCTGCGGTATTTTCCCTTCAGAATCTTCATGGATACGGTCATGCTTGTGGGCGCTGAGCCTTACGCCACAACCAACTCCTGTGTTCTCTTGCTCAACGCGCTGTGGTTCGGCATTATAGGCTGTGGAATTGTGCGGAATTCTTTCTGTGGATGCCGTTTCAGTGATGTCCGCACAGTTCCGAGGGGAGTTCACATCCGTCTCCGCCAATGGATCTCGTCTTGTTGTCGGCATATCTACTCCTCTCGTCCCCTGCCGTCTTCCTTCGACCCGTGACGAGCTCTTTCTACCATCCACCTCTCCTTTTGCCTCCACCACACCTTTTGCCTCCACCACACCTTTTGCCTCTTTGCTCTTGGTCGGCGAAAAGTGGAAATTGCACGAACCGTCCACAACCTTGGCAGCCAGCTTGACTTGCTTCTTTGCCGACAATCTGAGGCAGTGCATATGCAGCTTTGCCCATCCGAGCAGCACATTGGCCGCAACATCAGCAGCATATTCTGATGTCTCCCCTTTTGAGTTGGCCAATACAGCCTGGGCTGCTGACAGACAGTAGGCCGCATCCTTAAAGGACTCCTGTTGGATGTAATACCCAGCCAGCTGAGCGCAACTCTGCCCCCATTCAAAACACGTGAAAGAGTCGTCACCAACCTGCAGCTGATGGCTCAAAGTCAAAGCACAGTACGCTGCACTTTGTTTGGCATCCCCGAGAAGGTTATACACCTGAGCAAGATAGTACGTTGACATTACGTACAACGATTCTACCCGTGGAGGTTGTGGCTTCCTCATAATATCCATTCCAAGGCCGCCAACGTCGCCTAATCTCCCAGTTCCTTGGCCGCCTACGTCCTGTGATACCACTCGAGGGGCACCACCTTCTGTACCAGAACGCTGGATGTCGCTTTGCTGTTTCAAGAGACTTTGCTCGCAAACTTCTCTCCCTGTTTGTCCTCTTTCTCCTCCTTCCCCATCTCCTTCTCCAACTTCTCCACCTCCTCCTCCATCTTCTCCTCCACCTCCTTCTCGACCTCCTTCTCCATCTACTTCTCGGCCTCCTCCTCCTCCTCCTTCTCGACGACCTCCTCCGTCTACTTCTCGACCTCCTCCTCCGTCTACTTCTCGGCCTCCTCCTCGTGGACGCCCTCCTCCTCCCCCTCCCTCCTCACCTTGTTCTTCACGTTCTTCTCCACTTTGTCGTCCATCTTCTCTTTTTCCAGATCCTTCTGCAGGTGATGGCAGACTGCTGCTGCAAGCTCCAATGTCACGGCGGTCAGCATTTTGAGAACTGGTGGCGTCAAGAGGGTTGAGATCCGCTGTCTTTGTCTTCTCCGCATAGAGTCCTGCGGATTGATCTATTTCTGCATCAGACGCCGTTGCCGCAGACACTGTGCGTTCTCTGTTATCAGTGCTGCTGTAATCTGGTTCAATGGCCCTTTCTGATGGGTTTTCCGTAGTTACGGTACTCGCAGGCTGAGTCTGAGAAGAGGTCAGGGTAGAAGGATGATCCTGAACACAGTAAACATCCCCCCAACAACGTGCAGGGTCCACATAGAAAGGCAGGAAGATCCCTCTGTTGGCTACATACGAAGACACCGCTCGACCGCGAGCATGTCGTTTGTAAATAGCTATAGCCTTCAGCAAACATTCCTTGGCTTTAACATACTCTTCTCTGCTGCTCCAGATAGCCGCCAGTAGGTTATACGAATCTTGCAGGATCTCAACATGTCGAGGCTGGTCCATCAACAGCCTCTCAAGTGCGGAGTTGATTAACACCTCCCCCGCTGCCCACTGCTCTGTCTCCACAGCTAAGGATCCTTTCTTCTGGTCAATCAATGCAATCATGTCTCTGAATTCTTCCTCTTCTTGTTCGCATAGATTGGATGAGGATAAGAATGCAACACACGGTTCTCCTGCTGCTGCAGCTACATGATTTGCCTGTCGTTTCCGGTGATCAGTCGAGCATCCAGCGACTTGCTGAGCTTCAGCTCGCAGGGAATCCAGTAGCTCCATGGCTTCGTACTTCGATGGGTAAGGCTCCGTTTCATTCTTGGACTTCAGATCTAACTTGTTGACGGCTTTCAACCTTTCTATGAAAACTCTGTGTGTGAATTCTTGCCAAGATAAGCTTTTTTTGCATCCAGAAGTTGGCTTCGGATGAGAAACAGAAGCGACATTCTCCTTCAAGTCTTGACCATTGCAGTCACGCTGGTAATTCTCGCATTGTTGCGAGGCAGTCCTCGAGGAGGAGGAGGAGGTTTCACACTCTTCCGCGGTAACAACGCAGGGAGAGGGACTCTCTGTGGCCATGCTTGCTTCCCCTTGGCCTCCTTATTAGCAAAAAAGCCCTTGCACCATCCCCGACGCCCCTCACAAGCCTAAGGGGAAAACAAGCCGCTTTAAAAGGCTTCACTCTTTACTTTTGCTGTTGTTGCTATTGCTGTTGCCGTTGTTCTTTGCTTTTGCGGTGGTTATTTTTGCGGTCGTCGTTCTCGTTGTCGTCGTTGCTCTTGCCCACGTCAGTAGTCATGAGGTGGTGCTGTGCGTCCGAAACCCACCCACAGCATCATGCACCAGAATAGATAAGTCAATTAACCACTTGATGTAGAATGGATTCAGTTACGGTATGCACGGGAGTGATAACCAAGGGAAAGGATGCGACCTGATTAAGGCCCTGAGGCATGTACCTCCTGCCCACTGATCTTCTTCTTGCTGCTGCTTCTTGTGAGCGAGTGAAAGAGTGAGTGAGTGTGAGGGAGCTGTTTCTTGTCTTCTTCTCCCGAGGAGTATTTCTAATGGCAACTAGGCTTCTTCTTCTTCTTCTTTTCTCCTTGTGAGCAACTGCGTGCATGAACTTTTCCTTGTCTTCTCCTCCTGAGGGGCATTTCTGACGGCAAATAGGCTTCTTCTTCTTCTTCTTCTTCTGCTGCTGCTGCTGCTGCTGCTGCTGCTGCTAGTGTTGCTGCTGCTGAGTGAGCTTCTTTACGTCTTCTTGTCTTTTTGTCATGTGGAATACATCTGATGTCAACTAGGCTTCTTCTTCTTCTTCTTCTTCTTCTTCTTCTTCTTCTTCTGCTGCTGCTGCTGCTGCTGCTGCTGCTGCTGCTTCTGCTTCCGCTTCTTCTTCTTCTTCTTTAGCTTCTTCTTCTTCTTTCTTCTTGCTTCTTTACGTCTCCTTGTCTTTTTGTCATGCGGATTACATCTGATGTCAACTAGGCTTCTTCTTCTTCTTCTTCTTCTTCTTCTTCTTCTTCGTCTTCGTCTTCGTCTTCTGCTTCTGCTTCTGCTTCTTCTTTCTTCTTCTTCTTCTTCTTCTTCTTCTTCTTCTTCTTCTTCTTCTTCTTCTGCTGCTGCTGCTGCTGCTGCTGCTGCTGCTGCTGCGCTGCTGCTGCTGAGTGAGTTCACATCTTCTTGTCTTTTCGTCCTGCAGAATATATCTGATGTCAACTAGACTCTTCTTCTTCTTCTTTTCTTCTTCTTCCACTGCTGCTGCTGCTGCTGCTCCGGCTTCTCATTCTGCTTCTCCTTCTTCTTCTGGTTCTGCTGCTACTGTTGGTGCTGCTGAGTGAGCTTCTTTACGTCTTCTTGTCTTTCGTCCTGCGGAATATATCTGATGTCAACTAGGCTTCTTCTTCTTCTTCTTCTTCTTCTTCTTCTTCTTCTTCTTCTTCTTCTTGGGTTTAGTAACGCCTATGATGGTGGGCGATGTTCAGTGAGATTGGCAAGCTTCTCTTTTTGAACGGTGACTTTCCATCAGTTCAGATATGTGTGGCTGAAGCCTTGATGAAGATGGAAAGATGGACCTAGGGTTTCTTTCTCTTCTCTATCCAGATATGTTTTCTGATATGCAATGTACATTAAGCATGCACGATAGCAACGATACACAGTGCTGTACCAGCCGTCCTTAGCTCAGTTGGTACACCCAATGCATGAACTGTTGAAATACAGACCCAAGTTCGAATCCAGCTACTGTCAGATGAACAGAAAAAAAAAGGATTCTGAATTACCTGCGGCCGGTCAGTTCAACGATGATTTCAAGAGGAAAAAAATCATACACACTATTACACAGTATATATATTGTCACATTGTGAATCAGAGCGCAGAAGCAAAAAAAAGGGGAAAGAAAAAAGGAAAAGGAAAAAAGGGGAAGGGGAAGAGGTAAGGAAAGCTCCACCTGTTCATAACCTCTTA